ACGCTGAGGCACCATAACAAACCTCCCTATCTGTGGAGTGCGGCTGTATGCCATTGCGACGCGCCAAAGAGCTACGAACCAGGGGTTCGACTTGATGTAGTGAACTCCCTCGCTCAAAGTCGGCTCGTTGCCAGTAATCTCCAGAGCGTAGAGTATTTTTTTCATTTTCTTCACCCGTCAGTAAAGGGTTAAAGCCCTAAGCATCTACTTACTGTAGCCTAATGAAGTCCTCAGGTTTGGCACGGTTAAGTTTCTCCACCAGCTCTTGTGTTCTCTTCTTGTAAAGATCCTTTTCATTTTCAATGCTCCTCTTCTCCAGCTACAAATGGGTATTAAACCATCAAGAGTTTAAACATTCAGTATAGGATAAATCATCATCATCATCAAAATAATAAAAATAATAATAATGACAATAATAATGATAACTATAATACCTAAGAATACTTAATAACAATATCTAACAATATCTAATAATACTCAATAACAATATCTAATGATGATGATCATCATCATCATCATCATCATAACAGTAACAATAACGATAACGATAACAATAATAACAACAACAACAACACCAAAAATAACAAAAACAAAAGTAATAGATATACTAAAAGTAATAAGAATATAAAAGTAATAAAAGTAACAAAAGGTAATAAATAATACTAAAAATTATCATCATCATCCATACTAATATTAACCAATGCCGCCAGTCGGTTTCCCGATATGAAAGCCACAGGCTGTATTCATAGTGGTCAAAGTGGTTAATAATCATTATCATCATCATCATCATTGTAATTATTATTATTATTGTAAATATTAATTAACATTATTGTTTATATTATTTTCATCATCATTATTATAATTATAATTATTATTGTATATCAACTTCAAAATCACCAACATCATCATCAATATCAATGTCAATGTCAATGTCATCAACATTAACATCAACATTAACAACAATAATAATTATAATTATAATAATAATAATAATGATAATAATAATAATAATAATAATAACAATAATAATATCATCAACAAAAACAATACTCATATCATCATCTACTATAACAATAACAAAACAACATTAATACTTAAAGAAGATTAATGACAACAACAACAACAATAATAATAATAATATCAATAATAATATTAACAATAACAACAATATTTTCTATACTGACCATCAAAGACTCAATCTTATTGTCAGAAAGCCTTTGTTTCTCTTGTAGCGGTTCAATCTGCTTTTCCAAAGATTCATATTTTGCCTTGAATTCAGTGATGGTGTTTTGCATGCCTTCTTTCTCTTCACGAAGGAGACGGTTGCTGTCTGCCAGGGCATCCATGGTGTGGACCTTCCTAAGAAGTTCTCCATATCGTCCAGCACTATCTAGTGAGGCCTGGAGAGAAAGAATCAAACCATTTCTCACAGGGTTTGTAAGGGAAGATCATCAATCTATTAGATTAGTGAACAAGATGATAATCTTTTAAGTTTAAAGCCACTTCTAAATCACTTACTTGGCTCTTTTCTCTTTCTTCTGCCAGGTTCTTAGTAACCTGTTCTATCTGTGACTCCAAGATCTTCTTCTGAGCAGTCAGCCTCTGTACCTCAGCCAAGGCCACCTCACACTTTCCGGCAGATACATCTCGCTCCCTTCTAAGGTATTTGATGACTTCTCGTAACTGATCTGAGGATCTAGCCTCATCCTCAGTGAAGGAGGCATTGGGATTATCAGCCTGAAATAGAGTAAAGTTGGAATGAAAACTCAAGCGATTCTAAAATGGCCAATTATAAATGATTCAATATAGCAATGAATATGAATCTTCTTTTTCTTAAAAAAAAAAAAAAAAAAAAAAAAAAAAAAAAAAAAAAAAAAAAAAAAAAAAAAAAAAAAAAAAATCACAATATCAAATATCATTTTCTCTGATTCACAATATGACTGAAAGCCAAGCTATATGACAAAGTTGTACACAAAGATTGTAAAATTTTCTGGATTTGAAGCAATTCTCCAGAAATACAGCAGTAATACATAAATTTATATATGGAATATTCCCATTAGACATTTTTTTTTTCTAAATCACATAACATGCTGCAGTACCAAATAGGGTATCTAGATCAGATTTCTTCTCTTACCAATGTTAATCAACACTGATCAATCAAACTACTGCTTTCCTAGAATGCAGGTTCTATGGCTACTTTTTACTCCATTGCATATAACTACATAATTACAATTTTCTTCCTTTATGTTGCATTTTGAGTAAAAAGTATACTGGTTCTGGTATCGATGATTTTCTGTTTTTTTTTTATTACATTTTTTATAGTATTGAAACAGAATTTGGTACAACTTCTAGATAATAAATGAAGGTATCACTGATTTTCTTGGTGATTCATTATGGGAGAAGTTAGCTCAACAATACGGTGCACCACACAAGAAATATAAATAAAACCAAACTCCAGATATAACATCTCTATAATAAAACCAACCAGAAAAGAAATAGTAAAAAAAATCTAGGTCCCATATTAAGGGTACCAAGACAATGGCAGTCCCCTTAACGCCTTCCCGATGGGTCACGCCCTGAGGCGTCATAACAAACCGCTTGATCTGTGGAGTGTGGCAATACACTACGGCGACGCACCAAAGCACTATGAGCTGATGATTCGGCTTGATGTACCAAACTCCAGAGAGTTTTTTTTTTTGTTTTTTTTCACCCATCAATAAGGAGTTAAGTTTGTGTCACAGTATATGTCTAAGATAAGGTATATGCATCAAAGTCAAAAAAAGAAAAATGCATAGTAATTTCTTTTACATTTTTAGTATTAGCCAAATTATGAGAACCTTCATGTTTTTTTTACTCTGAGAGAACTAAATCTTTTAACAGAAAATAAGATTTAAGTATAAACCAAAGGACTGTGGTATTAAACATTGGCTAATGGCCAGTAACACAATGTTGTTTGGTGTATCAGTAGTTTCAACATTTGCACCCACCTTATTCAATATATTAAGAAAAATGCTGGACTTGTAATTGTTTATAGCTAGAGTTTATAAACAAATGCTCATAAGACATTGAAGGCTTTGCTTCACTTTAAGTGCCTGTATCTAAAAGTGACCCCAGTTACAAGCAAATGCCTGTAAAAATTCAAGGATTTGCTTCACAATCAGTGCCTGTATCTAACAGTGGCACCATACAAATGATGTCACTAATATCTGAGAAAGACAAGCTCATTCTAATGAGCTGACGATGTGGGGAATGCCATAATACAGGGCCATGTTTGACTTGATCAAGCATACCAATGGTATGATGTCATTAATGATAATTCTACTGGTTACCATTAACAGTTGATTAACTCACCCCAGGAACAGACAGCTTAGTCTGCAATGCAGCCATCTTGTCAGATAACTGGGTAAACTGGTCAAGAAGAGCTTTGTTCTGTTCCTCAAGTTCATGACTCCTCATGAGCAGGTCTTTATTTTCACGACGAAGCAGATTTTCTCTTTCCTCAAATCCTAATCGGGTGTCTGTAAAGGTCAAAGAGATTTCGATTGTTATGATAGCACACATTAGACATATTCTGGTGACTAATTTGACAAAAACATTAACCCAATGGTGATGGGTGAAGAAAACAAAAAACAAAACAAAAAAAAAACAAAAAAACTCTACGCTCTGGCAAACAATGGCAGCATGCCGACTTTGAGCGCGTGAGTTCGGTACATCAGCCAAAATCATTGGCTCACCGAGCTTTGGCACGCCGCCGCGGCATACAGCCGCACACCAGCTTTCGAGTGGTTTGTTTTCACACCTATCGGCGTCCCCCGTCGGGAAGGGGTTAATTAAGATTGTGTAAATCCATTACTGAAATAAATACTTGAAGTTTTTCTACACTATTTACAAATAAGACAAATGTATTTATAATAAGAAAATGATAAAAAAACTGCAACATTAGCAGTGAAATAATTGGTGTATTTCAATATTAGCCAATTGGCTCATGATGTGACCATCATGTCATGAAAAAAATTGGCTTGGAGGCCAGATGACATGATCATGCCATTATGGAAGAATATGGCTGAGGACTTGAGTGACAGCAACATGCCATCATGATAATTTCAGCTAAAGTCCAGGGTAACCTTAAGTGCAACAAAGTTTTGGATGGTGACTAAACTTGGTGAGCATTTAGGAAGTTGCTCTTGCATTTTTTCAATTGGTTGATGAGTGTGGAATGTACCATCAGTGAGCCATGAAGGAAAAAGCACCAACTCCAAGGAGTGCACTATTTTCATGCTCAGGATCCAATCCTGCCTACTGTGACCAGCAGCACAGGGTGTATTACAGAAAATTGAACATTACAAAGCTGCAAAAAGAAAGAAATAACAAAATCTTATTAATTGTTATCATTATAACACAGAGTTATGGACTACTTAGAGAGATGATATAGAGCCTATGCAAGGAAGACAGTCTATTATCATTTTGATACAGCATATCAAATGACAAACATAACCTTTGAAAATGGCAAAGAAGTAAAAAACATTTATGTGGAAAAAGAGATAATAACATTGCAAAGGATAGGCAAGGAGTCCTGCCACTGCACACAAGTGTTCAAGTGGACCAGGTCTACAAGCCACACACCCAGGAGAATTGCCATTCAAGAAAGCCTAATGCCTGAATTTTGGGCCACATGCAAGGCATCCAGATCCAATGGGTTAATAACTACATTATATCTTTACAAAAGAATTTTTGTAAATAAATCTAAATGCCAAGGCAAAAGCATATTTCAGTTTGCAATAAGAATTAACCCACTGGATCTAGGTACTTTGTCTAAAATCTGGGCATTAAGCTAACTTCATTGATGACCCTCCTGGGTGTCTGGCTTGTTTGCTTGGTGCACATAAACAATCATGAGCAATGTCAAGACTCATTGCCCTCCCTATATTATTATCTCTTATTCTGCATTTTTTGTTTTTATGGTATTTTCTATATTCTATATTTTTCTATATCTATATTTGTCATTTGATATCTTGTATCAAGACAGTTTACCTTGCACTGAGTCCACATCATCTCTGTAAGTAAATCAGTAAGTAAAATTTTCCTATTTGTTTTATCTTTTTATATTTCACATTCAATCTTCTGTAATACAACCTGCACCAACAGTGACAGTGCTTAGGAATAGGATCCTCAGCATGTATATATTGTACTCATTGGAGCATGGTACATTCTGCACTCATATACCAATGGAAACAATAGAAGAGCGCCTTCCTAAATGCCCACTCAGTCTAATCATCCTCCAAGAGCTTTGTGTACTTGTGGCAAGTCATTTCCATCACCCTAATCTTCAGACAAAATTCCCCTAGCAGCATGTTCCCATCATTCCCCGGCTCTAAGCAAATTTTTTTCAAGACGGCATGTTTACGTTATCCAGCCAAAAACGTTTTAAGACGTGATGGCACATCACCCGGATCCAAGGGGTTCCAGGTGAAATGGTAAAATGAATTCTTTAAACACTCTTTACTTAATCAAACACCTATATTAACCCCTTGGTGCCAGGTGACGCCGATCAGCGTGTACACAAAGAGCTCGAAAGCTGGCGTGCAGCCGAACGAGCCGGCGGCGCGCCAAAGCGCGGCGAGCCAGTGATTCGGGCTGATGTCCCCTACTCACGCGCTCAAAGTCGGCGCGCCGCCTTTGTTTGTTTAAGCGTAGAGTTTTTTTTTTTCTTTTGTACACCCGGCGCCATTGGGTTAACAATTCTTTACAATGATACCAAAGAGATGGATGAAGGATTTCAATTTCAATTTTCAAAGAAGTCAGACAAAGTGAAGAGAAAATCCCACTAATCTGTGACCCCTACCTCTGACAGCTTCTTCTGCCTTCAGTTTGGCCATGGTGACTTGCTGGAGTTCTGCATTATACTCAGCTTGTTTTTCCTTCAAGACAGCTAAAGCCTTCAAATCGGCACCATGTAACATCACCTCCCTCTCATACTTATCTTGAACTTCTCCAGCAAGCCTATGATAAAAGAAAAAAGGTCATTTGGATCATACACCCACCATGAAAAAAAATAGTGACAGTGATGACAGAAAAATGGCTTCAAAGGAAGGAAGCAAAGAAAGAAAGAAAGAAAAAGAGATAGAAATAAATAGATAAACAGATATAGATAGATAGATAGATAAATAGAAAGAGAGAAAGAAAGAAAGAAAGAAAGAAAGAAAGCATGCACATGCACACACACATACAGAGTATATATGCATATATAGTAAGGTAGATCATATAAATACATATGATAAATATATACATATATTACATGCAGTATACATCTGACCCTCTACTATCACACCTAATTGTTTGCATAACTGTGCACTAAGGCAAAAATTCATTATGTGTAATTTGATAATTATTGTGAATAATTCTAGATGGTTCTCAGCCAGACAATCCACCAACAAACTTGATAACATACTTTACCCATAAAGACCAAAGTTTAAATGAGAACGAATAAATTTACTGCATAAGGCATGCATCTGACACTTTTCAATTATGTCATCATCCGAAATACATGTGTTGGCAAGAATACAGAAGGTAAGCATATATCAGGCATGACCTGTCATTCTGACTCTACACCTGCTAAATTCCTCATAATACCACAATGGAACATCAAAGGCAATCACTAATACATCTGGTGAAAAAGTAAAATTTGTTATTTTACAAATAATCTCAACAGGGCCATATACTGCTTACCCTGCAGTAAGTGTGATAAATCTCACCATGGCAAAATGGGACATGGCTTTAGCACCAGGATTAACAAATATAAAGTTGACTTGATATTTAAGGTCATAGTGATTTACATACATGAAGCTGGACTTCTACCAGACTAGATGCAGCAAGTGATTCATACAGAATGTAATAAAATATAAGCTACATACATTGCTATGAAGGGGAATATGAAAATCAATTCTGGTAGCTTCAAATCATCCAAGGTCACAACAACAACTATTAGACAAGTAGGGAGTGAGAGGTCATGGTTGTCAAGCAAATCATATGCTTATGTCTGGTATAAAGGTTTTTTAAAATCTTGCTGACATAAACATTCCTGATGACAATAAAATCAGAACACATTAAACATATCTCTGTAAAGCTATTAATTTTCATCCATGCCTTTTCACAACCTTTGTTACAATTAACTATGTTCAGGTATCCTTAAAAATATCACAGTAACAAATGGAGAATAAATAAGAAAAAAATAAATGCAGATGTAATTTAAAATAACAAAATAACATTACACTATACCAAAGCATTAATGAGCTGACAGTTTCTCCAAACCACCAGAAGGAAGGATGGAAGGAAGGAACTATCTTGTATGAATATCTCTGTCTATCCCTTTGTTTTATAAATAGCTAGTTAAATTAGGTAATCATATTGGCTAAGTTACATACTGTGCCTTTTGTTGGGCTTCCTTCTTTGCCTTTTCTTCTTCTCCTTTAGCTGTTGTGAGAGCTTCATTTGCATCACTCA